TACCATTTAATACTGTTCAAAATGACTTCTAAGGCTAAAAGCTGTAGGCGACAGTGAGCAGTTTTTTTTAACTAGTCATTATGGAATTGCAGTACACTATCCACACAGTATGACCAAAGAAACTGTGGGACTTGGATACCTTTTACCACAAAGAATAACCATGTGTGACCAGGTTTGATGGGGGTGTAGCCACTGTATTTAATCTCTAAAAGTCCATGAAAAAGAGATGTTAGCCACTGGACTCAGATAAAGACCTAATAACATCCGGGGAAAATTTTAACCCCAGAAATGTTCTTCTTTAACAAAATGCTTCCTCATTTTGGGTGTATTTCTGGTATGTGTATAGCAAAAGACAGAGTTTTATCCATTCCCTTGTGTTTCCATTTCTTTCACATTCTTGCTATGTCAGGTAAAAAGCTTATAGATAAAACCACAAGCCAAACTCTTCAAGTGTCCAAAAGAAACAAGCATCTGTGTTCTCATGCAGATTGTTGCAACTGGAGTGTGCCACACTGACCTGTACCACCTTTTTGAGGGTATGCACAAAGATGGCTTCCCCGCAGTGCTTGGACACGAGGGAGCCGGCATAGTAGAGAGCGTTGGCCCCGGCGTTACTGAATTTCAGCCAGGTCAGTTAAAGCTTTCATTTGTCTGTCTTGTCATGTTCACCAGGTGGTCTCTGTAAGATGCAGCATTCTCAGCCTTGCTTTTGAATTTTAGGAGACAAGGTGATCCCTCTGTTCATCTCCCAGTGTCGGGAATGTCGCTTCTGTAAGAATCCTAAGACCAATCAGTGTGAAAATGGGTGGTGAGTTAATAGTTTTCTTAATTTCGCTTGATTGTAGAATTTCTTTTATATGTACCCTCTGCCACAAAGTACTTTATTTTCTAACCAGTGTTTTCTGTACAGGGCTGCTGATAGTCATGATGTGATGGCTTTAGCGGAATCCAGGTTCACCTGTAAGGGGAAGAAGGTGCTGCAGTTTATGGGGACCAGCACCTTCTCTGAGTACACTGTGATGAACCAGGTGGCTGTGGCTAAGATCGACCCGGCTGCTCCTCTGGATAAAGTCTGCCTCCTTGGGTGTGGGGTTTGCACTGGATATGGGGCAGCTGTTAATACTGCTAAGGTGTGTATGGTGGGCTAATGGAATAGCCAAGGTGTGTATATAGGTTTGACAGCAGGCAAAGATTGATGTTTGTTACTGTATGAAGTCTTAACAAGTCCAGAGTATCCAACCTGACTAATTTTTTTCCTTCAGGTTGAGCCAGGCTCCACCTGTGCTGTGTTTGGTCTGGGAGCTGTGGGTTTGGCTGCAGTCATGGGCTGCAAGGCTGCAGGAGCCAAAAGGATTATCGCCGTTGACATCAATCCAGACAAGTTTGAGAAGGCCAAAGTGTTTGGAGCCACGGAGTTTGTGAACCCAAAGGATCACAACAAACCCATCAATGAAGTTTTGGCTGAGATGACAAACGGAGGTGTGGACTACTCCCTGGAATGTGTCGGGAACGTGGCAGTCATGGTGAGGCAGACTGACAAATTCAAATAAAGACTGGATCAGTTTGTAAATATGGTCAAGAACCCTATGTTTGCAAGTCAGCTGACATTTGGCTGGTTTTATTATGTAGCGTAGTGCCTTGGAGTCTTGTATCAAAGGCTGGGGTGTCAGCGTGCTGGTTGGCTGGACTGATCTCCACGACTTTGCAGCCCGACCCATTCAGCTCATTGCTGGACGTACATGGAAGGGCTCTTTGTTTGGAGGTGAGGCACATGTGATCATCCACACTAACTAACGCAGTTTAATTTAACCACCACCGCAGCGTTACTGAGCACAGCTTCCAGTTTTGGGGGATGTTTCTGCGTCCATATGCAGCTAACTTTCTTCAGCTTTACATCAGCACATTGAGTGCAGAACTTTGAAAAGCACCAGGTTGTATTCAGCACATTCAAACATCTGCACATTTTCCATAATTGGTTTCACACACCAAATTACCAAGAACAGTATCTCCTGTGCTGTGACAGTTGCCAGAAGGCTTGAAGTGAGAAAAGACTAATTGATGTTATAATATGCTTTTTATATCTGGGGCTCAGGATTTAAGAGTAAGGATGGCGTCCCTGAGATGGTTAAAGCCTACCTGAACAAGAAGGTGAAGCTGGATGAGTTCATCACTCATAAAATGACTTTGGACCAGGTCAACGATGCCATTGAACTGATGAAGCACGGCAAATGGTACATACTTTCTCAATTATTACTAACTAGATGCAAAAATGAAAAACTAATAGGTGCAAGTCTTCTAATTTGTGCTTTGTATTTGTTTCCCAGCATCCGGACAGTTCTGAGTGTTTCTCCACAGTAAGACCACTTCATTCCTCAGAAATCTGAAGCCAGGCTCTACAGTGCATTCAGCAGATTATGTGCAGATTGTGTTTGTAAGAATTATCATCAGTGTTCACATGATCAAAATCTGAGGAGTGTTTGTGCAGCAAAATAAATGGTTTTAACAGATGACTGGTTTCCTCACTTCTGATCAGATTTGGTTGTGTTATTTTATAAGTCAGTACAGAGGCTGTAATTCAGTTCACTGTTACACTGGTTTTAGTGT